TCTCTCTCTCAAAAAAAAAAATATTGAAAATAATTTAAAAGATAATGAAAATTTAAAAAATGGCTGCATATTATTTCTTTGTATTGATATGTGATAATGAGACTCTATGGGTGAGCAATTAGGGTTTTCTCCTCAGTTTTTCACAATTGCAAACATTCTGCACCAAACATCTAACTATGCACTCTGCACACTTGATTGAGTCTAAGCTTAGGCTAAATCCCTAGAATTGCACTTCTATGAAAAAGACATATGCACAGGTGCAATCTTTACGGATCTTCCCAACTCGTTTTCCAAAAGGTTGCCCCATTTAGACTCCAACCAATGGGTTATCGGGACAGGCTGAATCACCAATGATGGGCATTCTCAAACTCAGCCTCGCCAGTCTGTTAGATGAAAACTAGCATCTCATTGTTTTGATTTGCATTTTTTAAAATTACGAGTGAGGTTTAGGATCTTTTTATTTGTTTGGCAATAATTCTTCTTCGCTAACGGATGGGGTTGTGGTTTTGGTTTTGTTTTTTTTTTTTTAAGAGAAGGGTCTTTGAGGCACTTTCTCGAGTCGTGGGCTTCCGAGTAGGGAACGTGGGGGTAAGGAGGCAGGGCCAAGTAGACTGAGAGAGCTCTAGCCCAGGTTCTACTGAGCTCAGTGGAGTTCGTGCTTTCTGGGCCTCAGAAAAAGGAAGAGGTTGAGCTGGTCATCTGGTCCCTTCCAGCTCCAGGGTCTCGTGACTGCAAGAATGGTTGCTAGGAGTTCTGATGTTAGCTACCCACAGCTTACAGAACTGAAGTCCAACCTCCGGAGCCTGGCATTTAAATTCCTTATCCATCTGGCCCCGATGGATACATTCTAAAGTTTGTCCCAGTTAAAAGCCCCAGGGCCCTGGACCCCATCACCGTGTTCCCTGAATATGCCCTGCAATTTCAGGCCCTCGGTTGCCTCTGCCATGCCTTTCCTTCTCTCTACCTCACTGCCCCCATCCCACCTCTGCTTTCAAGGCCACCTCCAAGGCCATCTCCTGCAAGCATCCTTCCCATCCTACTTGAACTACTCCTGCGGAGCCTCGGCCATCCCTTTGTTAAACTGCACATCACAAGCTGCTCTGCCTTTCAGTTAACTCAGCTCTGCATGAGTTTGAGAGAATGGCTTTAAGTCAATCAGATCTGGATTCAAATCTCAGATCTGCTTCACAGTTTTACCTCAAGCAGCCTGTCTCCCTGCCAGTCCTCAGTTTTTTCATCTGTGAAATGAGGAAAACAGCATCCAGTTCTGTGGAGTTAAATAACATCACGTAGTAAAGAATCTCACACAATGCCCAGCGCGAAGACACGTGACAGCGGGCCTCCGTCTTCCTGGGAGATTAGGTGGTCGGGAACCTAGTCTAGTTTCTCCAGGTGCTTGTTTGCTGGCTATGCCACCTCACCATCACCCGACGAGCCATTTGCGGGGCTCATCACGCACAGGGACCTCGCTCTGATGAAACAGCCATATGGAAGGGACATCTCAGTAGTTGCAATGGAAGAGCCTTCGTGCCTGACATCCGAGTTAGTCCCACCCAGTGTACCAGAGCCATTGTGTCTGTGCTGTGTCACTGTGTGTCTGCTGTGAGATGAAAGTCTTCTACTCTAGAGATACGGGGCATAGAAGGGAGAGTATGGAATCCCCGCCCTTGCCTCCCAGCCCTGTGACTTTGGAAAGTTACATAACCCTGAGCCTCAGTTTCCACAACTGGGGAATAGGAGACACTGATTCCTACCAAGGGATCCATTTGTTTTGTTTTGTGAAAAGTATCTCAAACAATGCCAGACCTATTGGAATTCAATAAATATTAAACGTCCCGACTTCCCATTGTCCCTCACCGTATTATATAAGCCGCTTAATGGACAGAAACTGTATCTCATATATATTTTAAAAACCTCATCATTGAGGTGCCTGGGTGGCGCAGTCGGTTAAGCGTCCGACTTCAGCCAGGTCATGATCTCGCGGTCCGTGAGTTCGAGCCCCGCGTCGGGCTCTGGGCTGATGGCTCGGAGCCTGGAGCCTGTTTCCGATTCTGTGTCTCCCTCTCGCTCTGCCCCTCGCACGTTCATGCTCTGTCTCTCTCTGTCCCAAAAATAAATAAACATTGAAAAAAAAAATTTAAAAAAATAAAAATAAAAACCTCATCATCTAGCATAGCAATAAGCATATTATATAGTATCGATAATTGTTATTCAGGATGGTGAGGACATTAGCCTTCTTTGGGCAGTACTCATCGATCACATACCTGAGCTCCTTTGACTCTTAAAACCAGCCTTTGAGGTAGACAGGGTTATGCCCACCTTGTAGATGAAGAAGCAAGGCCCAGAGAGATCAAGTGATGTTTTTAGAGTCTCCTACTCGGGAATTTTGGGACTTGAACCCAGACCCTTGTTTCCAAATCCCACACTTTCCCTTCTACGTGGTCCCGATATGAGAGCATTTCTGCCTGATATTCTGGGTGCAGCCTGTGGCCCCATTATAAAGCAGCCTGGACACTTTACATGCGGCAGAGCCATGGCTGGGGCTTCTGGTGACAGCCTCTGGCTTCCAGGATCGGGTTTGATTATTCCCTAAATTGATCCTCAAACTTAGACAACATGGGGACTCGCAGAACCCTCTCTCCGCTTTTCGGTATCCGACGCTCTGTTTTCGGAGGTCCTTAGTGGCATTGTCCTGAATGCGCCCGTTCAAGGAGGCTTCGCCCCTTCCCTTCCATGTCTGCCATGTTCTTCCAGCATGACTGCAGTCTCAGGTGAGTCTTGTTAAATACCTGGGCCTTGATCCAGACTCTCTCCCGTTTCTGAATGGAGGCAGAAGAGCGATGTCAGGCTGGGTGTCACCCTCTTGCTGGCAACTGGAACCCAGATATCTCACATTCTTTTCCTCTGGCTTCATGGAGATCGATCATTCCAGTGAAGGCTCAACATTGCACCACAGCTGCCAGAAAGCCCTCGGCTTGGAAACACTGGCCTTACCCTTCGGTAAACCTCCCTTGCCCGTGACTAACGCTGAGTGGGGCGGGGAGCCATCATGCTTTGCGGCCTTCTCCAGAAAGCGCTCCAGGCTCGGGAGGGGAAGGAAGGCCTGTCCTCGGCTGGCCGGCTCACATTTGCATACTTTACTCCCTGAAGAAAAGGTTATGAGTGGTAAAACGCCTTCGTTATAAACTATCCACTTAAAATTGTAGCATCTCACCGCTTTTGACTACTACGAGAGAGAGAGATTGTCCTCCCTCGGTAGGAAGGAAAGTTGGAATTAAGTTCCTCATCCTCTCAGTAAAAGCTCCTCAGGGCATCACAAAACTCCCAGGTGACCCTACTCTGGGGCCATTGTGGGGATCAGCAGATGGGGACACTACTCTGAGACGGGAGATCAGAGGGCTGGCTTTTTTTTTTTTTTTTTTCAACGTTTATTTATTTTTGGGACAGAGAGAGACAGAGCATGAACGGGCGAGGGGCAGAGAGAGAGGGAGACACAGAATCGGAAACAGGCTCCAGGCTCCGAGCCATCAGCCCAGAGCCCGACGCGGGGCTCGAACTCACGGACCGCGAGATCGTGACCTGGCTGAAGTCGGACGCTTAACCGACTGCGCCACCCAGGCGCCCCCAGAGGGCTGGCTTTTAACACATACACGGAGCGAGCAAAACACAAAAAGTGCTTCTTCAAAGGCATGTGATCCCAGGGGCACCCGGGTGGCTCAGTCGGTTGAGCACCGGACTTCGGCTCAAGTCATGATCTCACGGTTCGTGGGTTCGAGCCCCGCGTCAGGCTCTGTGCTGACAGCTCAGAGCCTGGAACCTGCTTGAGATTCTGTGTTTCCCTCTCTCTCTGCCCCTCTTGGCTCATGCGCTCTCTTTCTCTCTCAAAAATAAGTGAACGTTAAAAAAATTTTTTTTTAAAAAAGGCATGTGATCCTTAATAAAGCAAGACAGATGCACTGGCACTGTATTGAAAATGCCAAAGAAGAGGGGTTCTAACAAGTTTCTGGTGGGTGGCAGGTAGAAGTCAGTTGAACGAGCCTCATGATTACAGATTAGATGTGGGACGTCTCCTACACACGGCTCCTCTTTGGCATTGTCACCTGCATATTTTTGATCCTTGTGAGCTCTATTTTTCGCATAAGAGCTGTAGTTTCCTCCCCTCAAAAATCTCCTACCCAGCCCGCGGGTGCACGTACTCACAGACTAACTCGCGATCTGGTGCACAAATCGCTCCTCCTGGAGACCCAGGAACATCAGCACAGATGTTGTAGATGCCCTGATGGAGGTGTGTGTCACGTGCTTTGGGGAGGACGGATTCTGCCCGGGAGAGCTGAGGTGGGGAAAGGTGGGGGGTGGCGTTTGAGCAGGGTCGTAAAGAAAGAATAAGGGGTCTTCTGAGACAAGGGAGGGCATTTCTGGCAGGGAACACAGCACGGGCAGAGGCCCCGAGGTGTGAGATGTCATGGCTGTTCAGGGACCCCTCGCTTGCACTGGAAGGAATCACACTCTCACGGGCCTCCCAGACCAAGCTATCAGGCTGTTGTCAACAGAAGCCATCGCAGGGTGAGTCTCCGAGTGGCATCAGATCTGTTTTGGCGGAAATACTTGGCAGGGGCGGGGCAGATGCTTGGAAAGGAGAGTGGTTTTGCACCCACCGGGACGGTGGTGGTGAGGACCTGGGCTGGGCAGCGACTATGTTATCAGAGGATTGGAGACCGGCCAGAGAGGTCCTTGGTGGTGGAACCGCCAGGGCTGAGTGACAGAGATGTTGGATGACAGATTGGGAGGAGTTGGCGATTTATTGCTTAGGTGATTAGGTGAATGGTGCTGTCACTGACAGCCGGGGAGCAAGGAGGCCAAACAGGTTTGGGGCAGAGGTTTTGGAGGAGGGGGTGGTGAGGAAACACACCAGTCATAAACCAATGTTTTCACCTTCGTGGTAGCTCTCGGGCTCCTCCGATTCCACGCTGACATCACCAGGGCTTGGAGCTCTGTGAGGCGGGGCTGGAAGCTGGTGAAGCCCTCACATTCCGGAGCTAGAGTGCCTGGCATTAGAACTTCTCGATGGCTTTGGGGCGCCCAGGGGGGCTCAGTCGGTCAAGAGTCCGACTTTGGCTCAGGTCGTGATCTCGGGGTTCATGAGTTGGAGCCCCGAGTTGGGCTCTGTGCTGATAGTGCGGGGCCTGGAGCCTGCTTTGAGTTCTGTGTCTCCCTCTCTCTGCCCTTCCCTCTCTGTCTCTCTGTCTCTCTCTAAAATGAATACACATTAAAAAAAAAAAAAAAGAACTTCTCAATGTCTTTATTTGTCGAATAACACGGTACTGCATCATGGGACCAGTCGGGATTAGTAGAGGTGGTTCGTGTAAATTGCTGAGACCACGGCCTGGAATATTCTGAGCACTCCAGAGATACGTGCTATCTGTGTGGTATGGCCACAGGTACACCTTGAGCAAAAGAGATGCCCATTTGCCCCTTCTGTTTTAAAAATGCTTCGGGGGCACCTGGGTGGCTCCCCGGTTAAGTGTCTGACTCTTGATGTCGGCTCCGGTCATGATCTCATGGTGTGTGGGTTCGAGTCCCGTGTTGGGCCCCCGCCCCCACCCCATGCCGGGCTCTGCTTGGGATTCTCTCCCTCTCTCCCTGCCCCTCCTGTGCTCCCTCTCTCAAAAGAAATAACGAAACTCCTAAAAAAAAATAAAAACACTTCTATTTGGTTCCAAACCAACATTTGCAAGGCAGACAACCAGGTGCGATAGTGAAGTGGGGATCCTTGCGGTGCATGGCTGATGAGAAAGTAGGAAGGTTTTCGCGAACTTTTCCCTTTTTACCATCACTCCTTCCATCGGAGGCGTCTCCTGAACATCCGTGGAATGTAGGGTTCTAGACGGAGCATGAGAAATGGCCCCCAGTGTCAGAGGCTCACCGCCTGGCTCGGACAATAGGACATGTGCGGAAGTAGGTTTCAGACAGTGGACGTGCTGTGGGTCCCGAGGAGCAAGAAGACCCCTCCCTG